CATCTTTGCATCTGTTTCTCTGTTCACTTTTTCTACACCATGCATAATTTTATCCAATTCAGTCAGGTCTCCCCTTATTTGCCTCTTTAAAAAGTTCCAGAGGTTGTAAGCTTTCTTCTTAGGGGAGTTGCTCCAGCCCCTTAACCATTTCAGTTGCTTGCTTCTGAAATGTTCCAACCCTACAGTATCCTTTTTAAGGTGTAGAGACCAGAAATATTCACAGTATTCTAAGTGTGGTTGCACAGTAGACTTGTATAAGGGCAGTTTGCTTTTTTCAGATCAGCCAAGCCATGGCTTGACATGTTCATTGATTTGTCCTTCACAGCCCCAAGATCATAGCTAGCTGAAATCCCATCACCTTATATGTAAAGTTAGGATTATTATTATTTTTTTGTCACTGTGTGCATCACTTTATGTTTACATTGAATTGCACTTACCATTTTAATGTCCATTTAGAGAGATTCTTTTGAAGTCTTTTTTTGTTTAAGCTACCCTAAGCTAATTTGGTATCATCAGCAAAATTGGTCAAGTCAATGCTTACTCCTGATTCCAGATTTATTATGAACAAGTTGAAAAGATCCCAGTGGGAGCCCACAGTTTACACTCCTCCATTGGTAGAGTTTGCCTTTTATTCCTACTCCCGCCTTTCACTTTTTAACTTCTACTGATCATAAGAGGACCTTTCCTTTTATTCCATGACTGCTAAATTTGCTCAGGAGATTTTGGTGGGGGAGTTGTCCAGAAGCCTTTTTTAAGTCCAAGTACACAATGTCTACCAGTTCATCCCTGTCCACATGTTTCTTGACATTTGCGAAGAATTCTGAATGGTTTGTTGAGACAATTCTTATGTTTGCAAAAGCCATGTTGACTCTTTCAGCAAGGGTTCTTCTTCTGTATGCTTACTAATTATATCTCAATGATTTTTACCTTTTAATCTGGAACACTAAGCTAATCTGCATGTCATTTCTTGAATCCCTTCTGGATTGCTTTATAAAAATTGGCATTACATTGATCATTCTCCAGTGTTCTGGTACAGAGGCTAATTTTAGGGATATATTAGTTTTGTTAAAAGATTTGAAATTTCTCTTCTGGGTTCTAGGCTAGATTCTTTCTGGGTTTGGTGATTTTTTAAGTTAAAACTTGTCAATAAAGCTGAGAAGGTCATTTCTGGCACCACTGTTTACCTAAATTCCTCAAACTCCCTCCCTGAAACCACCAGTTTAGGCGCAGATATCTGTTCGGTATCTCTTTCAGTAAAGACAGATGAAAAGAATTCATTCAGCTTTTCTGTAATCTGCTTACACCCCTTTAGTACTCCTTTAACTCTATTATCATCCAGCTGTTCAACTGCCTCCCGGCTGGCTCCCTGCTTCCCATATATTTAACAAATTCTTTATTGTTGTTGAATTTAGCTTTCCATTGAGCACAACATACAGTATTTCTCTCATGCATTTTTTAGCTGCATTCATAGAGATTTTTCCTAAATCTTACATTGAATTTTAGTAGCAGTTCAACATTAATTAGTGCTGTGATTGCCTGGAGTCCTATGTGAAGTCTAAAACCCTGTTTTAAAATTCAGATTTCTCCAGCAGAGCAAAAATGCTCTTCCATTGGATAAGGTGATTATGACATCAGTACTTTTCAACCATACTGTTTTCTGCTGCAGTGCGCAGATAGGATTGAAAGCATGTATGGCTTATTTCGCACTGACTCATGATACCAGCTGAAACAAACAAGATTTCTTAAATGAAATTCAGGACACCTGAAATTTGAAAATGGTTGCAGGATAGCATTTTTCTGTGTTGGCAATGAGGAATATGTAGGAGTGAATGAATAGGGAAATGAAGGCTACAATGTTAGTATTAGTATACCTCATATTCATTCTCTTGCTCTCTGTCTCAATTTGTCCTATTATATGGAGCACCACTATAGGGAAGAGGCTCTCTCTCTCTCTCTCTCTCTTTTTTTTTTTAAAGAAAAGCATACTGTGTGGCCTGTGATTGTGTCCCCTCTTCATCTGTAGTTCTGAAAGTAGCTTTTGGGGTGGTAAAATATGCCCCCTGACCTTGCCGGGAGTGAGAAATGTCTTGAAAATTCAGAGCACTCTGTACTTAAGTGCCGGTAGAGTAGGCCTGTTCCTCTCCTAGGCCTCACCTTTTAGTCGCGGTGTGACTTTGTCTACCCTGAATGCAGCCGCCTTCATTTTGTTTCACTTTTAACACAAAACTGCTAGGTCTCGGTGCTGCTGTTTGGCTTTTACCATTCTCCGATGTTACATCTCAAAATGGGAAGGGGCTGCCAAGCTCCTTAAAAGGGACAAGGGGTACAGGACCCTCAACTGTGTGCATGAGAGGAAGACATTAGGCGCAGCTTTATGTACCACCATATGCCAATGGAAACAGCACTTGTGGATATTGTACTTACAACTGAAGATCAGCCAGAAAGCAGCTCCCAACCCCCATACGCCAAGGCCGGTTCCACCTGGTGAGTTTCTGCCTGTGACTTGGCTGCAAGAGACAGAGCTGCTCACAGTCGGATGACAGGCAGAAACTCAGTTGGTGAAGTAACAGAAGCAGTCACATGATTACTGCTGAGAGACCAGGCCTTTGTGGGGAAGAAGCATAATCTACATCAGACGCATAGATTGCACTTTTTCAAATATAATGGTTGCCCTGTATTTACAAGGCCATCTCCTCTGGAGGTGAGGAGGCGGATTTAACAGCCCTAACAGAAGCCTCTCTGAGCAATTTCTAGGCCTAAAGATGAAAAAGGGAGGGACACTGACAGCTGCTGTCTGCACCTTTTTCACAATTGCACGTTTTTAAATAAAAGTATGACTAAAATAACAATACTGAAGGATAATGGACATTTTATTATGTGACATAGAAATCACAAATTTCTCACTGATCAAGATTTGTCACAACTTATTTTTCCCATCTTTTTCCTTTAGGAACATTTCTAGCACAAATATAGTCTGATGAGCTCTTGTGCAATGACATTATATGCCATTTAGACCTTTTGGTTTTTACAAATTCATAGCGTTTTCTATCATAATATTACAGAAAATGGCATTCTCTGTGCTCCCCAATACAAGAAGAAAAGGTAGCTGTGATGTCAAAGTACAGACACCCTAATTGTTACCTGTTTGTGGAATGAAATCAAACTGGAAGATGAACATTTTCAGAGATTTCATATCTTCAGTCTTACATAAGTCTTCAGTTTGTATAGTTTCAAGAAATCATCTTGTGGGAGTAAGGGCCAGGTAACAATATATGAATACCTGGTCGTAAAATTTTTATTAATTTTGAAATAAAATAATAATCCAAAATTGCTCATTTTAGGGTTGGGAAAAAGTGAAAGTCTTTTTTCAACAGTTCACATGTTTTACTCTTAGTTCTAATCTATTTGCATATAGTAGAGGTAAATACACACACATTCCCATCTGTATTGTGGCATCTTTATTGGAGTTTCCCAGCATGGCTTATAATAAATTGCAAAGTTCATTTGGTTTACTCTTAAGTGGACGTGGGTGGCACAGTGGTTGAAACCGCTGAGCTACTGGGCTTGCTAATTGAAAGGTCTGTGAGATGGGCAGAGCTCCCGTTGCTTTGTCCTAGCTGCTGCCAACCTAGCAGTTCAAAAGCATGCAGATGCAAGTAGATAAATGGGTACCACTGTGGCAGGAAAATAACAGCGTTCCGTGCGCTTCGGCATTGCCAGCCACATGACCATGGAAACTCTGGACAAATGCTGGCTCCCTAGGCTAAGAAACAGAGATTAGCACCACCCCTAGAGTTGGACATGACTGGACTTAAATGTCAAGGGGAAACCTTTACCGTTACTCTAAGTAGAACTAATATTGAATAGAAGCCCCCGCCCCCACAAATCTTTGAAATTTTAGCAGCTATACTCAAAAACAAAACTTGAGAACTCAAGTCTGAACAGCAACTTAAGCTTTATTAAACTTTGTTTTACATAAATTTTGTTTTTAAGGAGGTACTGTGACTTGGCTTAAGACCTGTACTGGAAGGGGGTAATTTGATTTGATAGACAGAATGTTTAGAACAAGCAATGCAGAATACTTTCTGATAGGATCGTCATTTGCTTATCTGTCAAAGCATACTACAAAAGCATTTTTATGATTGGTGCAGGATAAAATATGCCAGTATATTCAGACTTCTTTTGATAACTGATGCACCATTGCTGGTGCACCTGCATGGTTCTTTCTTTATTCATACATATTGAACAATGGCTACATGACTGCATATAATATTTGATACGTTAACTTGAGGACATTGTATTCATTTGTACAGTCCTTAAGGGTGTGAGTATTTTTGTAGTCCAGTGGTTGCTAGGAAATCAGGAATTGGATCATTTAATAGTAGCACTGTTTCTTTTACCTATCATATATAAGTTAAAAACAACAGACCATACTAGAAAGCACAATGTAGAGGCTTCGGTGAATGGGGCGGCATAAAAATGTTTTAATAAATAAATGAATAAATAAAATAATAGAAGTGTCAGTGTTCTCAGGGTCTCCTGTCTGCATTTTATACTGATAATTTTAATTTTGTATTTGTAAATCAATGTATTTTTTGTATTGTTATATTTAATGGTAATTTATTATGTACTATTGTATTTCAATGTATTTTATCATGTTGTAAGCCGCCCCGAGGTTTCGGCAAGGGGCGGCATAGAAATGTTATAATAATAATAATAATAATAATAATAATAATAATAATTTGTTGTCTTCCGGTATCCTTTTGAGACTAATAGCAATGTCTTGTAAAGTTTATCATAGCAATATGTTGCTTGCTCAGACAGGGCCAATGAATGTAGTCAAAGATAGTACTACAGCTTGTTCATATGGAGCAGAATGCAGTTACCTAGTGAGAAATGGCTTTTGTATACAATAAATAAAATATTGACCAGATTCAAAAGAGCTAGAGTGCAAGTATGTTGACTATTGATATATATATATACACATATATTTTTTACAGTTTTTATGCTGATTTTGGACCTTTAAACTTGGCTCAGGTATATCGTTTCTGCTGCAAACTAAACAAGAAATTGAAGGTAAGAACTTCATATTTTCTCTCAAGTACAGTTTTTTTGCAAACATTTGATCAGTAAACTGCAAAAGATGACAACCAGTTATATGATAATTAGGAGAATTTTTAATTTTGTGCCAGTATTTTGGTCTGACTAGAAAAACTGAAAATTGATTCTCCATGTTAGTAACTTGACTAGAAATCAAATGTTCATCTAATTCATGAGTGATGAGGGTAAATTGTAAAAATGTAGGAAAAATGAGTATGGTGTCCTTACTGCAATATCTGGTTACTGTTGCAGCATCTTGTGGATCTTAAATTCTGTATATTCAGTGGATTGTATTCAAAGGTGACTGTGTGTGAGCAATAAGCTATTCAGTTCTTGCAAAGAAGGCTCTCTTTGATTTTTACTGATCGCTTCTATCTGCTGCAGTTCATTTACCCACCTCCTACAATCTTTTTGAGAGTTGGGCAAACCTCTGGGACAAAATAGTTTGGTGGAAAATTAACAGTAGCTATCTGTTTAAAGGAAAGGGAAATGGAGTGCTAGAAATATATTCAAAACCATTGTGTTGCTATTTAAAGGTTTCTTTTTGACCCAAGTAAGTTTTGTACCTGAGGCTTTGTGCAGTTTATATATAGAGAAAACAAACATAGACCTATCTAGCTAATGCAGAAGAAGCCATGGAAATTTTGATTGCTTCCTCTGCAATTGATATACCTACTAAACACCCATGTTTCTTTTAAAATTTCTCAAAATTGAGAAGTGTTTATTTTTGAATACTGGCAGTGAATGTTCTTTGGGAAGAATAGCAAGTCATATTTGCAGGTGTACGCTAACTTAAACTTGAACTTCTTTTTGCAAGTATTATTGTCTGCATGATTATATTATTTCTTATGGAGATATGCTGGAGCAGATATAATGCTGTATTGGGGGGGTGTGTGTGTGTGTGTATTCTAAATGAAACAGCAGAATTTTGTTTTGCACAGCTGAACAAACTTTCCAGACATTCTCATTTGCTGAAAATGTTAAAGGTGAAAAAGTTTTGTTGTGTCTTAAGCTGCAATCCTATGCAAACTATTTTGAAGTAAGCCACTATGAATTTAATGACATTAATTCTGAGTAAACATGCAGAGGATTGGGTTACATATCTGCTGTTTAAATCCTTTATTTCCTGCTGAAATTAGATCCTATTGATGAGGGCTTGATTAGCACAAGTTCTGCGGAGGCAAGAGCTTATGTATACTGCCTTAATTTTTGCTTCTTAAACTTTAGCCTGGGCAGATAGCTTACCTTGCTGTTTCATCAAGTGTAACACTGAGGTTTTGCTTGGTTAGGGAACTGCTATTTTCCTCTTCCCCACAGCCCAGCAGCTAAACACTAAAAAAGTGATCTGATAATACATTTTGTTCTGTTGCTTTGGTTGTTTTAAGCAGCCTATTTAATTCTTTACATAAATGCAATTGCAGATTTTGAATTTAAAATGGTACAAAACATTAGGGAAAGGTGGCATGTGCTAAACCACATATATCTCCTCCTTGTACCAACCCAAATTCCTGCAGTACAACCAGCAGTGACACAGATACTTAATGATGTGATGTGCAGGTGATATCAGGAAGTGTGTACTGAACACTTCGTTCTTCCTCCCCGGCGCTGGGGAGAGGAAGGAAGGAAAGCAGTCATCACCCCTCCCGTAGCTGAGATGTAGAGGCTTTTTAGCAACCTGTACTGGTTTGGGCATTGGTTTTTTTGCCGGGGGTGGGGGTTACAGTTGTATTTTATTGTTGCTTTATATTATGCATTTTATTATTGTGTTAAGTATTTCCACACCAGTTGTGGGTCCAAGGTCAAAAAACCTACCTTTGAAACAGTCTTGGAGAGAGGGGTGTTTGTGCTGTTACACAATAATGCACACTATCCTGGAAGGGCCTCAGTCTTCCTCCTTCCAGGCAGGAGCAAAACATTTAACCTGGTCACAATCAGCTGTCTAAGCCTTTTTCCTGTAGGGAGTAATATAGAGGTAACTTTCAGCTTTGCACACCTTCTGCCCTTGATAGGATGTCTGTAATCCTCTTAAGTTCAGAGGGTACAGGCAGCCGAGGAGGATCAACCTGTTAATTTAAAAAAATAAAATCAGACTGCTAGTTCAAATGGACACCTACTTGGATGTTTTCTACCTTTGACCAAGTTTTTGTTTTGTTTTGTTTTGTTTTTTGCATATGAGTAAAGCCAGAGTTCATCCTATCAAGTGAGAATTCTTGAAAATATAGCACTCCTTAGGAACTTAGACAATCTCTCAAAACAACTACACAAATAATTTTGATGAGGTGTTGGCAAAGATTTACATGTGTTGGTAATTTAGTGATGTGGGTTTTCTGGAGAAACTTGAATTGGACAATTTTCCAGAAGAAAAATCTTATGCAAGCCAAGCTATTTTGTATTGGATAATGTCCAGCTTGCGTTGAAAGATGATCTGATTCTCTAGAGAGTGCTCTTAGTAAACAAAGCTTTAAAATTACTCTATGTTAATTTTTTTGCTCCAGTTTACCAATACTTGAGGGAAAAATAAAAGCATAAAAATTAATGTGCTTCAAATGACAGATTATGTATAAATTTTAGTTGGAAAATTACTTGTAAATAGTATATTTGTAAATATGTAATATGGTACAGCAGTCCCCCAGCTTTTTGGCCTTATGGGCACATTTGGATTTTTGGAAAACTGTTGTGGACACTACCACAAAATGGCACCTACAGAGGATGTGGCTTGTCACATAAGAAATGCTGTGGGGCCTTGACTAGTCAAAAGTGATTTGAAGAAGAGCAGGAGAGAGAAATAGTGATTCTAGAGGATGGGAGTGCAAAATAAAAGGCTAAGAGGTAGAGGAAGAAGAGCAAAGCTGGAGGCTTGGAAAGGAAAAGAAAAAAGTCTGCCCAAACATTTTCCCAAGTTTGCATAAAACAAATTTTTGAAGGAGCAGATAGGAGAGCGTTAATATAATATTAGGTCCTTCTCTAAAAGCCTGCTGGTAGTGATAGATGCTGAAATGGAATAAATTTGTAGCAACAATTTTCAGAAAAGCAGTCACATTTGTCTATTTAGAGCAAAAACAATGGGTCTTGTGATAGCTTAAAAGTTAAGCTTTCATGAACTAGAGAGCGCTTCATCACATCCTTGAAAAGTTTTCCTAAATTGTCAGGTATCTATACATGGCTGTAGAAGTTAGGGGGAAGATGTCTGTCAATTTATTGCTGAGCAAAATCTTATTGGCCTCATTTTGATATGCAGCTTAGTGTGGGTTGGTGTTTTGAGAAGGAATTGCACTGAATCTTGAGCTTGCCACTTCCCTCTTTGACTCAGTTATGCAGAGGAATTCATAGCCTACTACACTGTTTCCAGCTCTGGTCAACTATAAGCTGTGGAAAGTGTGACATTCTGGACAGTTTTTCTGGCTATCTCCCTTTTTTCTAATCCTGGTGAGAAGTAGGGTGGTTGTGACTGGTGATGGCTGCCAGTGATGTCATACATGGGCCCTCCAACTCTGAGCGCAAGGACCATCACTGATGAGTCTGCTGCCTTAGCATAGCATGCCTCTTGGATCCAACTGTATTCTGAAATGGTACCTTCCCCCCCGCCCCCCAAGCTAGCCTGTAAGACACTCCTCAGGTACCCACTCATTGGCAACATCATCCATAGCAAAAGGGAGAGCCTGAGAAAGTGAACCAAGCAGGGCTAGGTTAATCTAAGAAAGCCATTTAAAAGGAGCTCTGACTGATGTCCTGATGCATAGCCATAAAAGGCGATTATACCCCATCATCTTGCATCAGATGTGCTGGTTGTTGGTGTGCTCCTGGGGTCCATTCAAAATGCTAGCCATTACCTGATGGTTTGGTTGCTGGTATGTTATACTACTTCTGTTTTTAGGTGGTATTTTTGCTTTCCCCCCCTTGCTTTATTATGATTTTAGTGTGTAAACCACTGTGAGATGGCTTTATAGGCCCTTCTCTAAAAATGATTTTAAACTGGCAGATAATGCTAGATGCTGAAATGGCATAAATCTGTAGCAACAGTTTTTAGAAGAGCAGTCATTTTAGTCTTTTTAGAGCACTGCGAGATGGCTTTATAGCCCCAAATAGATGGTACCATAAACTGAACATGTATTGTGAACTTAACCTGAGATGGGCTTAGTAACATAACTAGTTAACCTAATCAATAACTTAACATTACTAACCTGTGCCTATCATTTTGTTATGGGTGTGGAAGATGGCGGGTTTGGAAGATGGAAGCTTTGACTAGGCTTGGGACAAACCCTAGCAGAATCCATCCCTCTAGCATTTGTGGGCTTCCTCTTGTGCTTGGCCTGGCCTCATGTGAGCTGAGCCATGAGGAAGTCCACAACATTTATGCACAACCATGAGTTTCCTTCTGCTTCAGGTGCAGCTGTGCAAACAGTGCCAACACATGGCACAGAAGAGGGATGCTGCTAACAGTCATATGGGATTCCATTCCTGGCGAGCCCCACCCAACCGACTTTCTTCTGTGTCAAGCGCAGCAGCCCGAATGGCTCCTACAGGTGCCACAGAAGAGGAGCGCTGCTGGCACAGGCTGTGGGGCTTGATTTCTGGCAAGAGCCCTGTGAACGCTTGGCACACTCACCAGGAACTTGCTGCAAAGTGGACTGGAACCCGGAGAGCCAAGTCCAGGAAATCAGACAGATTCCCCCTCTTAGATAGATTTTTCACACATTCCAAGCTTTGAAATTCCTATGGAAAGTACAACAGAAGGTCACTGGCACCTTTGCTGCAGCAATCCCTACAAGTTCAATTATTTGACTAATCCTGGTGTTTCTTGTCGTCTTGTGAGTAGCATGGTTATCTTAGACAGGGATTTGAACACAAAGCAATCTGTATATTTGGGGTAATGTGTGAAGCTCTAAAGGGGACTTGAGAGCATTGAACACCATCCCTCGTGTTTCAGCTTTGGAAGGCAGGCAGCCATGAAGCTAAGAGATGGCTGTGACAATAGCCATTGACGTTTGCTTTATGCCATTCTGCTCATTCTCACCTAAAGGATGAGTTGGGGCATTTCTGCTCCTTGTTTCATTATTTAACTCTATAAATTGTTAAAAGTTGCTGTTTAGACTTCCAATTCAGAGCACAAGTCTATAATATGGATCACTTTTTCTTCATCCTAATTGTATTCATGTGAGGGATTCCACTCCCCTTTTCTATGCAGTAAACAAAAGGAATGGAGCTAAGTGATTGATCTGCCTGTTCAGAATTTTCTAATGTACAATTGTCTTGTAAGCATTTCCTCTGTTTCTTTTGTGGTGGCTGAATGAACAAGGAGGCTTTTTGTGCCAGATGCCCATTGTGTGACACTTTGAGAGCCGTCTTTGGCATTCTGTACCAAATGATAGCCCCTGCCACCCAATTCCCCAGGATATTGCATGGAGTTTATTAGACAGTACATGCAAGTGGTGGGAAGTAAGCCACAGGAATGAGAAACCCTCTGTATCTGACATCATATCTGGACAGTCACTCAGCAAAAGGTGGAAGGGCTGGAGAATACATGTGAAAAGGAGAAGCAGCCTTGTTAATTGAGATATCTTGCTAAGCAGGGGTTAGGGAGCACTTGCTTTATGCTTTCTGTGATGTCGTAAGCTTGATTTTAAGGAACTCTCAAGGCAGATTTGGCTAAACAGGCATAGGTCAACTGCTAGGATTAAATTTACTGAATTTGATAGTTCTTTGTTAACACTGTTCTCATCATTTTTCTCTTTAAATAGTCATTCAGTCTGTCAAGAAAGAAAATAGTGTATTATACCAGCTTTGACCAGCGGAAACGAGCAAATGCAGCATTTTTGATAGGAGCATATGCGGTAAGTATCACTTGATGTGCATGTCTCTAGCAGGAACTTGCTGACATTTCATTCTCTGGCTATGTATAGATGCTAGAATCATTGTCCTTTTGAAGATTCCTATCCTGCAGAAACTCGCCTTCTTCATTTTCATTTCTGTTCTGGCCTTATGTGAGTACAAAGTGAGACGAGCCAGGAGAAATGGCTAAATTTAGTGGTACACTGTCTTCGTACTGTATTACACTAGCTATCTTTGTGACCAACTTCCTGTCATTGTCTTCCCCGGGTGGAAATCCAAACAATGTGGTTTGCAGCAGGGAATTGCTCCCTGACAGAGAATGTCACTTCGGTTGCAGGGGCTTACTCACAATGTCATTATTCTTGGAACTAAGGGAACCAGAAATTTCTGCATCAAGCCATGCATACGTTTCTGAATTTTCCTTTTCTTAAAGGGCAGCATATGTGTTAATTTGGGTTTGTTATATGCATATTACATAGTTAAACTTTCAGAACATTCTGAAATATTTGCATTTTCAAACTTGAAGAATATGTCAATGTTAGAGACATGAATATTTACTTTGTTTGTTTATCTACAATATTTGTATACTGCCCCATATCCAGGAAAATTCTAGAGTGATGAACAGTTAAAAACTAAAACAGATCCGAGAATTTACCTTACTAAACTGCGGCTATTCAGGAAGCACAGCTTCCCAGAGCAAAGATATCGGCCATAAGCACAGAAAATAGCATAGCATGGGTGCCTGCCTGACTTCCAGAGACAAGGGATTACATAGAAATGGAATTGTCACACTGAAGCATCTCCTAGTGGACTCCAGTTGGGCCATGGGTTTGTGTGGAACAGTAAGGAGAATGTCCTCTGATGACCTCAGGGACAGGGCAGGTTAATAAGTAAGAAGGTGTTCTTTAAGGTAACCTTGTACCAAGTTCAGGCTTTGCACATATGTGGATGTTTGGAGGTTGTTGTTCATCTTTATGTTAAGATAACGTAAGCGTTTTAAAGGTTTCTGGTGGTACCTATTAAATAATTCCCTGTTGGCTTTGTGATGACAATTAATGATGTTGAACTGCTTTGGAAGGCACAGCAACCCGCAATGCATTGCTTTTCATGTCATGCAAGCAGGGACTGCTTCACCAAGAGTGACTACTTTTTTTTTTCCAAGCAAGCCACCCTGTGGTGCCCTTGTGGTGGACTGTCATGTTGTTTGAACGCAGACAGCATGATCAATCATAGGTAAGACCCCACAGACAGGGAGCCTCTTGGCAAGCATAGCAAAAAGCCTTTGGTGCTATGTCCAGGTGACTGCCACAGTCAGCCACCCCAGAAGTGCTCAGTAGACACTTAAGGTCCGGCTGATACTGCCTCTTCCCTCCGCTGTGCATGCTAGCTGATCTTAGCTGGTCATGGTGGCTGAACCCTTTAAATTTTGCTCTTGGAGAACACTTGGAGAGCCTACAATCCCTGTAATGGGCAGCTACAAAGTGCCCTTTCCAAGTGTTTCGTGGCACCCTGGAGGGGCTTGCTGAGGCTGTCTGGGTCTTCTTTATATTATTACATTTTTGGCACCCGCAAATGAGTGAAAGAAAAAGGATTTTAAGGGGTCCAGTTGCACAAATAGGGCTTATTCCCTGAAGTGTAGCAGAGCCAAGTTCTTCATCTGAAGGCTTCCTGTTGCCCACTTGCCACATGCAGCCTCTGCACATTGTTCCAAACAAGGCTGGCAGTCCCTCCCTGCCCATCTTGTTTTCAGTGACAGGCTAATGAAAAGTGAGCTGCCTGTTGAAAGCCAAGGCGTGAGGAACAGTTTTCTGAGAAGGAGATGGGTTTTTTTTGAGGGGGGGGTTGGTTTGGGTTTTGGTTTTGCAAACAGTACCTTCTTCCTGGTAGGATTAGTTTTGTCTGTTCTCCGTGAGGGAGCAAGTTTTCACCTTTGTCCCTGTCCCCCTGTGAGCTCAGGGAAAGGAGCAAGCTTGTCGCCACAACACACACCGTTTTGCAGGTACAAAAAAATAAGGCAAAAATAGTGGGCAGGCATGGACAGCCCCTCCAGGGTAGCACAGAGCATGTCAGAGTCATGCCTCCCCTTAGGGAATAGCGAAAGCCAGTTCCACCGCTTCTGCCACCTTGGAAGGGGAAAACATCAAAGTAACAAGCATGGGGAGCCAACATTGACTCATGGTCGCAGCTGTCGAAGAGGGGAGGCTTGTTCCTCTGTGGTGTCCCCTGGAGTACTGCCTGGAGGAAAGAAGGGATAGGACGGGGAGGGAGCAACATGCCTATGGTAGGCCCATACACCTCTCCTGGTTTATTGCCAGGGTGGATTGTTGTTCATGCACGTGGCTCCATTGAATGCTGCTTTTGTGGGTCACAGTTAATACTTCTTCTGTGTATGGAAGCTTTACAGAAACTTTTCCACAAAAAATTACTCTGTAGAGAGATACAAAGAAACTATTGTACCTCTTTACAGAGCAAGCTGAGATGGTCATCAACATTATTTTTGGAAATAGAATCACTGCCCATATAATTAGCTCATACATCTTAACCTTTCCATGTGTAGCAGTGGAAACAAATTGGCCCCTCTGGAGTGACAGAACAAGATACAAACAGATGAAATAATGGAGACCTTTCTGGACGAACACGGAGTGCACTTTATCTGTGCACAAGGAGTAATAACAATACTAACTTGGGAATCGATCAACAGTGATAAGATGGTTTCGTCCTTCACTGTTGAGACAGATACACGATTGGACTATCCTCATCTAGGACTATCAGTCCTTAGTGGCAGCAGGTCTTGAACCCAGTTCTTCATGATCTCTGTGCATCACACACATGGGCTTGTGTGGAGCCTGTTGTTGGCTACTTACCTGAAATTTCATTGCGGAAAACAAGGACAGGCTAAGATTTCCAAATGTAACATCTTGTTTGGTCATAGCGTTCTGCTATGTGATTTTAACACGCTTTGCAAAATTGTATTGGGATTGCAGTTTGTCTGTCTCATCCTAAACACTTGTGCAGAAAGTTTTAAACATGGACACTGTGAGCAATTTGTTGGATTCCCTTCCTTCTTCGTGAGTCACCCTTCAGTGAAAGGCTGTCAGGATGTCATATAACTTAAGATATAGCAAATAGAATTACAATTTCATATATAACTTTAAAAGACCAGAAACTTTAGGCATAAAACCAATAAAATCCAGAGTGGCATAGTGGCATAAATATTAAATATCCTACTGTAATGAAACTGGAGGATGTTATAGTTACTAATCAATTCCGGATTGGCACTTTGCACTTGAGTCTCACTTGACACTTCTTGCAAGGAGTGTAATGACGTTAAGGTCTGCTACAGAATCTCCTAGGAGAGTAAAACACTCCCCACTGTTTAATTTTTTGTAATAGCTGATATTTATTGGCTAGTATTGAGCCTGAGTTGTTGGGCTGTGTAAATATCAAAAGGGCATGGCTGACAAATGATGCCATGGGGGAATACATGGATCTCACAGGGGAAAAGCAACCAGTAGGGAGAAAAAAGCAAACAGTAGAGCAGAACTATATCTCCATATAGCACGTTTCCTTCAGATACTCCTTCCCTAACGGATGGATGAGACCAGATTGGCCTTTCCTTTGCCATGATCTTCTTCCTGAAAAACTGGGAAGTTTAGCCCCTGAGTGGCCTTTCATAATCTGATCAATGGTAGTGGCCTGAGTATACTTAGCCTTGCAGCACCAGAGAATCCCTTAGTTTACCAAGATTAAACTCAAGACCTTTTCAGAGGCACCTCAGCAAGACATACGGTATTTTTCCATCTATAGGACTCCCCCATGTATAGGATGCCCCCCACTTTTCCTACCCATCTCCAGTGAACAAGCAGCTGCCATGCGTGTGCTGCTTTGCCCCCCCCCCCCGCAGCGCCTCCCAGCCCGTGCAACCTCTTCACCAGGCCCCCGCAGCACCTCGCCGCCCCCGCCTGCCTGCCTGCGGCGCCACATTGCCCCCTGCGCATGCGCACTGTTTTGCTGCCCCCCCCCGCCCACGCCAGTCTCCCTCCCCCAGTCCCCCATGTATAAGACACACCTTCATTTTTAAGTAAATGTTTTTAAGAAAAAGTAGCATCTTATACACGGACAAATACGATAACTTTTGATTCTGATTCAATTGAGGAGGTGGCTGAGTTGGTAGAAGTTTCAAGGCCACAGCAGAGAGAATTAGGTAGGAATGTTTTATGTGTTACTAAAAGCTATTATGCAGTTGAGAGTGAAGATACCAGCAGAGGAGGAGGAGGAGGAGGGCTGAAAATGACAGACTCCAGAGATAGGCATCAAATGAAAAGAAAGGAGCAGTATGAGCAACTACTGTCAGGCAAGGAGATTCAGTGCCCAAGGGACTGCACTGTAAAGGACCTATCATAATAGCAACGAATGGTTAGCACAGCTAGCCTGAATGAAAGGACGGTAGCCTTTCCCCATTATTCTGATCATCAGCTTCCTCTCCATGGGCTATTTTATTTACAGTAGGTAAGTAGTGCCATTGCTGTTTTACTTATTCACATCCATTATTGGTAACCCAATCTATTGTATAACCTTGAAGCAAAACAGTCTTGCATAAATAAAGTTAGCTATTTGAATTCAGGACTCAGACTTGTCTGCAATGAAAAGAAGAAAAAAAAGCAGTGACCCTTGACCGTGCAGAGGATAGCAGAAATAAACCTCCAGATCAATGCAGAACACTGGTACTTGTATGTGGTAGAGTAGAAGGATAGACTTTACTGCTGACTCAAGCAGATTAACAATATTGTTGGTTGAGCAAAGGATTTGGTGCCCCTTCCAGCATCTACCATAGATGAATTCTAATAGTATAGTATCCTCCTTGTGGAGAAACCAGGTGCATGCTCTTGATAGCATTTAAATAGGGCTTAGGCTTCTGGACCCAGTCTCCAATAACTTACCTTTTGAGGGTAAATGTTCTTCAGGGGACTAGAACTACACATGTAGCTCCATTTAGATGCCGTATCGCATGGCAAGGCAAACTCGGAGTTAGGACAGCTTTCCCCAAGAGCCAAGCACATTGCTGCTTCCCACAGTATGTGGAATCTGTACATTTTTGTAAGGCTTAAAGAACTATTGGGCAACAAAATTATGTCTTAACATAGCAAACTCTACTTTGAGGAAAACAGAATTGCAGCCTGTTCCCTTTTGAAGCAGTAACTTCCATTGAACTGTGCACACAACCTTAAAAATAGTGCACTTATCTTTCACTCACTTTACTCTTCACAGGCTAGGTTTCCTATGCACAATCCTATTTTTCCTGATATTCATGTAGTGCATGACATTCTGAGCTTTGTTAGTTCAGAGGGTTTTTTTACTGTTCTTATACTAAAATATTAATGTGTAAAGTGAGACTAGACAAACGCTAGATTAAATTCTACAGATACAATTTTCACTAGTAGCTATGTACCTTAAACAGGCACGCACAGTGACCTGCATATTTTTGCACCAAACCCAATTTTTCGCCTCTCATGTTACATTATCTGTACTACTGTCGTGTGCTATACAGAATGTAACATGAAAATCCCAGCCTTTTCTTCTTAAACTGTCTTCCCCTTTGTTAGCAAACAACAGTCCTCGTCCCTCTAACTTTTTAGCTGGGGATGTACTAGATGGCTCAGGGAATTTTTGGCATGTCCAGTGTATACTGTCGTCTGGTTTAATCAATGAATTGCTTCCTATAGAAATTGAAAAAAGCACTAGAATAGCAATCTTATTTCATTTGTGCAGTATCATTGCGCAATCTATTCCAGCTTGCAAGTTTCTTGGGATACTTTTGCTACTTTCACCAAATTCTTAGCATGCATCTGTCATTTCAGCAGCAGTTCAACTACTGCTGAACTGAAAATAATGAAAAAGACAGTTACATTAACTTGTAATTTACTAATTTACTTAGTTATTGCCGAATAGCCAAAACTCTCTGGTGATTTACGTAAATGTGAGTCAGTGCAGTGTAATCATTAAAGAAGGCAGGACTGGGTTCTAGTCCCTATTCAGCCATGGACTCACTGTGGGCCAGTAACAGACTCCCAACCCAACCTACTCACAGGATTCATAAAATAGTAGAGTTGGAAGGGGCCATGAAGGCCATCAGGTCCAACACCCTGCCATTGCAGGACACTATGTTACACCATCCCACTCAGATGGCTGTCCAGTTTCTTTTTGAAAGTCCCTAGTCTGGGAGAACTCACCACCTCTCTAGGCAGCTGGTTCCACTGTCATGTTGCTCTGCCAGTGAGGAAGCTATTTCTGACATCTAGCCTGAGTCTGGGTTGTTGCAGCTTGAGCTGATTATTCTGTGTCCTACACTCTGGTATCAGCAAGAAGAGATCTTGAACTTTCTCTTTGTGACAGCCTTTGAGGGATTGTTGTTGAGAAGATAAGATTGAGAGGAGGAGAATTATGTAAACTGCCTTGAGTTCCTCAAAAAAAGGAGGAGAGAAGGGCTATAAATAAATAAATATTCTATAGCATGGTGAAAATTAACTCTATAGCCTATAATGAAGTACCCTTTTTAGACTTAGGCAAAATGTGTAGAATTCAGTTGCAAATTTAGTTTATCATGTTCTTCATGTGTCTTCAGCATGGAAAACGACTTATCAAGAATGAACTAAGGAAATAAAAGAAAGTCAGCATAACATTTCAAGAAATGTGTATCATGTATATATCACCTATCTGTTAACAATTTTTTTTAAAAAAACCTTATGGTAGAACTTTTTAAAGTGATAAAGCATACAATGAACTATACTGCTCATAATGCATCTTCGTTGTGCACTTCTTCAGAAATTCCTTAGCTTTAGTTTTGCTTGTTTGTTTTGATACCACGAAATGCTGTCAGTATGTCATACTACATAACTACAAAAGAAGAAAAGATAGAAGGAAGTAATTTGATTTCAAGAAGACCAGTACTGAATGGGGAAAGGGAGCATTCTTACAGAGAATACAGAGTAGAACATATGCGATGAACTCGAGAGAGTTTCTATGCAAGCATTTGTAGAGCTGACATGGTATTGAAACAAACTGGGTTTGAAGTACAGTTTCCTCAAATGAAATCCCACCTTTTTATACCAGTTCAGGGTTCTGTGTAAGTTATAGCCACAGGAAAGCAATCTCTATTCTTTGGGAAGTAATTCTAAAACCTTTCTGAAATTCATTTAAAAAGAAATGGTGTTGACTGCATTAAAGATAGGGTGGTAAAGATACAGGATGATCACTGTATAGGCAATATTGCTTAATTTTTATACTTTTAGGCTTTAGACTTTGGTGTCTGTTTGAGTCTATAAAATCCTGTATGTCCTGGCACTTCCTGTTCTTCCCTGTGAGAAATGGAACACCTGCTTTCATAGTGGGGCATGTGCCTACATGCACTGAGTTGCCCTTCTTATGGAAGAGAATTGAAATCCCTGTGCCCACAGGAGTCTATGGATGCCTTTATGTGACTAACACAGGATTTATGGGATGAGGAGAAAATAGAATTCTCCGTAACCAGAGAGGCAGTAAGTGGCTTGGTAGGGGAGCCAGCTAAGAACTGTAGTATCAGAATGTACAGCAGGTGAAATAATATTGATCAATGTTTACAATTTTGGGGCAGTAATACCAAAAATGTATGAAGAGCAGCAGTTACTGCTTAATTACTCATGCTCAGTGAACTCTTCTAATATAACAAGAACATTTTTGTTTGTTAGAAAACCCTGACTCACAAATAGCTGCCTTAATTCCAGACAATAGAATTAGGTGGTAGAGAAAAAATCATAATGAATTTTTATGACAACGTGCAGTGAAACATAATTTACTTGAAAGCAATTTTCTGGGGTACTTCTATTAAATATGGTATAACTGTTAGTTACTAAAGCATGTAAATATTTTAAGGCTGCATAGCAAATGGTAAAGGGCTGAATTGCCACATATCCTAGTTATATCCAGTTTACATTAAATCATTAACTCAAGAGAAATATATTAGACAGCTATCCATATCATTTCAGCTTAAGATGAAGTGTTGCTTTAAATTGGTTTTCATTATAGGTGATCTACCTGAAGAAAACGCCAGAAGAAGCTTACCGTATACTTTTATCAGGATCTAATCCTCCATATCTTCCATTTAGGTATGACTGAAAATAATACTTTAACCCTAATCTTTACAACAGCCATGTAAACTAAGTTAGTATTATTATCTTCCTGAGTGAGGGTAGCTTGAGTTCATGAAAGACATATAATTCAAACCAGGGTCTTCCTGATCGATAGCTTAGTCTCTTAACCAGCTCTTGTTGCAAACTTAACCACTATGTAACACCAGCTCTTGTTAAAGTTCCAGAAAGTCCCCCACATGTGTTTAGACCAGTTTTCTGGCTGCTTGTTCCTTCCTCCTGCCACCCACTAGTAATTAAGATCGAAAGAAGGATTGTAGTTTCCTGCTTCAGCCCCCTATCCTGCCCTGCAGTGCACCCAAAAGTATCTTCCAATCATACACAGGATTATTTTGATCTTTCCTTGGGTCTCCTTTTCCCTTCTTCACTTGGCATTGCTGAATTATCCAAACCTTTAGCTCAAGTGATCTTTAGTGGGTAATTGATACATTTACTCAGTATACAGGAATGTATATAACTTGAGCAATTAGGATTAAGAGGAGATATGTTATTCTTTGCTTACATTGATAACTTGAAACTACCACATGCTGCCTGTTCATTCGTTCTGCTAAAATAATACTGAGTAGGGTACTTATAACTATATATTAAAAGCAGTGCAGTAACTCTTATGTGACTTTTCCTTCACTCTCAATGGCCTTTGGCTCATACTGAAATCCTGATTTAATCTGTTTTTGGTGCATCATTCAATAACAAAATGCTTTTATTAACTTTTATTTTATCGGGGCGGCTCACAAATTAGTTGAAAACAAATTGCCTTAAAATAATAAGCAAAATAAGATCAAAATTAAAGCAAGACACCACAGGTGGCAATAAAAAAATATCCATTCCCCAAAACAGTAGCAAATATTGAAAGCTAAAGCCATCATTAGAAAAGACATGCTCAAAGAACACCATCTGCACCACTGCCTGAACATGCAAAATTAAGCAGATTGGTAAATTTTTCAGGTTAATGAATGTCACCGTCTAGATGCTGCTATGGAGAAAGTGTAGTCTTGTGCCCCATGCCTCCATATTGCGGCAGGACCGAATCACTGTATGAACAACAGATTCATAAAGTACCTACATTACTATTTGTTTATGTTTCCATTTCGTTCAATGACCTGAAAAATCTTAATCTGCTTAAAAGTTAACCAACCTTTAAGCAATGCAGGAGCAAAATACAGGTGAAATTTAATTAAATGGCTTGAACAGATATTCCATCCTACCAGTTTCAAACCTTCGTGTATACTGGAAATATGGGAGGGGAGAAAGTTAATGCTGGCTGAAGAGGGTTATTTGAAATGTCTCAGTACTTGGTGTACCCAAAATAAAGTGGACTGGAATTAGGTATTTTGGACAGACAGTGTTTACTCTGGAAATGACAAACTCAGAAGAAATGGGGTAGCTTTAACACTGAAGCAAGATGTAGCATAAGCAGTAGGAGGATGTTCTTTGATATGAGAACTTTATATTTGTAAGAACAACCTATATTGATATTTGTTGCTGTGGAAAAGAGATGGTGTAGCCATAGTTTTATTAACAATGTATTGTAAAGGCTTTCTGGGCTTGCCTGAACTTGTTCACTTAGAGAAAGGAAAGCTTGATTTCAAGGCCATAATACCAAGTCCATTTTTGTCAAATTACTGGTGTGATCATTTCTGCGTTAGAAAATGACATTGAGAGCAATTTGGTTCACATCAGATTTGATAAAATTTCTTGCATTGTGTTTCCTCCCACAATACAGAGGTGGCCTTGTCTGCTCTAAAGCTTAATCACACTTATCCTTTATAGAAATTAGGAGTATGCATTAGATTTGGAGAAATCCCACATGGAATCAAGCTGATCTGGACAGATTTGGGATTCCTTCTAAGTAAAGCAACCCAAATCACCCAGAGGTGAGTCTGAGTCTTCCCAAGTGAGGAGTACATGCCCCACCAAGGGCATGTACACTATGACCTGATTCGTGTATTAATGGCATGAGTTAAACACTCTTGCAGCTTCCTGACAGCTCCCTATTTTTACTTTGTCTTGAGATTACAATACAAGTTCCTGGGTTGTGCTCTGCAACATGCAGACTCAGGGCCCTCGGCTGTTGAGGGAAGAGTTGTGCTTGCTTACAACTAGTTTGTTTTGTAATCTAGAAACAAAGCAGATGCAGGATAGTTGGGAGGCAGTGTACTTGTTTACTCCACATAGTCCTAGCAATCCATGGGTTGCCTTTGTATATGGACCAAGCTTGTGGTTGAAACATTAAATTATTTTTCCCCAAGCTTACTGTATAAGGAAAATGTCACAGTGGGAAGAAAGGAAGGAAGAAGAGATATAACTGGTTAGCTCTAGCTTCTACCCTTAAAATAAATTGATGAATGGCTCTCCTTTTTACTTGCTTTTTAACAAGAAACACAGAAGGATGGTATCAAATGCTGCACCTTTTATTTCACCAAAATTTGTACAAATGTACACTTCTGCATGACTCTGCTTCTTCATAGCCAGGAAGAGGCAAGGTACCCAGGATAGGTACCGAACACCACACATTCTCTGCTAAGCAACCTCTTCAGCTTCTGAGGTTTATCTAACCATTGCCTTTGCAGTCAACAACACTGAAAATGTGCTTTTAAAAATGAAAACTGCTTCCCTCAGGCTGCCTGATTAAGAGGCTGCACAGTTCCACAGAAGAGCAAAATATGGCACTAAACAAATAGCCCTGACTAATGGCATAAAATAAAACTTGCACGAGGCATATGCTTTTCTTTTTGTTCAGGTAGCAGTTATAATGTTCTATGTACTGAAAATACAGAAGTGTATCTTTCTCTGCATATATGGAAATAGAAGGGGCATGTTAAATTGACTGCCAACATTGAACATTTGAGAGAGGCGATCACGCTTGAGGCCTGAAACCTGGGAAAGGTTAACTCCTCCTCCTTTTTTTACAGATCAATTCAAATCTTAGTTATTTAAAAAAAAAGATGCTCCTGATTGGACAGCCTATTTTTAAAAAATTGTTTTAGTAGAATCATTTAAAATAGCATATCTTAGAGCCCCCCCCCCACTTCACACAAAAAGGGGTGTTTCTTCTAAGATAATAGCTGGCTGTGATTTTGGTGCCATTGTCAAACATTGATTTTTTTAAAAGCTAGTAATTTGTAGACAGACTTAATTGATCAAAACGTATGATTATTCAAGCTATTTTGTTACCTTGTCAACCTCATCACATGCAGTACCATAGAATATAGAAACAGCAAGTCAGGAGGGGCCTCCCAGGCTATTTAGTCTGTCCTTCAGCCGGCTCCGCTCACGACATGCCCACCATGTGCATGTCCAGCCTATCCTTAAACACCCACACTGATGGGGCTTCAACCATCTCAGCCCATTCCATACACTAGGATCCTAACTGTCAGGAAGTACTTCCTGGCATCCACCTTGAAACTTGGTCCCCTGAACTTTGCCACTCTAGCTACCTTGAAACCCTGTCATAGAATTCCACAAGGTTCGTCTGCGGGACCTGTTCTTGTGGAAGCCTTGTTGCATGGCTGCCAACCTCCCTTCCATATCTAGGATTACTAGATCTCTCACTGTTACGAACTTTCCATTGTCTTTCCTAGAATGGACATAAGGCTAACCAGCCTGCAATTCCTCATGCCCCCTCTACTATCCTTTTTGAAGATTGGGACCACTGATGCCACCCTCCAGTCCTCTGGAACCTCACTCATTTTCCACGAGGCTTCAGAAATGGAGGCTAGTGGGCGTGAGTACCCCGAGTACCCTTGGGTGTAAGCTGTTAGGGCCTGGCACTTTTGTAACATCCACTACCCTGAGCTCCTCAACTTCTGTGGGGGTGACTCTAATCTGTACCCCTAAATCCCCAGTCCCCCATGCAGATCTCCCTCGGCCAACTTTGAGGAGAACACAGAGGCAAAATAGCCATTTGGCAGCTCTGCAGTTCCTTCACATCAGTCACCAAATCTCCTTCCTCCTTATTAAGCCATCCCAAAGTAGCAGTAGAAGAGTGCATCTCTGTATACCCTTGTATATTTGGGATTCTGTTTGGTAGAATGCATTTAGAATTTGCGTTAAGCATCAAGTCAGTGTTTAACACAAATTCATATTTATTCTTAGCCCCTTTAAGAATGTCATATAATTGTCAGTATGTTTGAAATGTACCTTAAGTTTTCTAGTTTTTGTTGTTGTTGCTTTAGTCCTCTTAAAATTTCATGCCTAACATTTGTTCTTAGCTCATGTTTAGTTTTCTTTAATGCTAATCCTGTATAAAACATGGTAAAGCGCCACTGAATTGTGAATTATTAAACAGAAATCTATATTTGGGCTTCAGTTCTCAAAGTGCAGGAGCTCATGTCAGTCTAACTGCTTCCATTCAGGCATTTCAAACAAGCATTCTCTGAAGCATGCACTAATAAATTAAGGTAGCCAACATGTTATGAATTACAGAAGTCTGGCTTTTGCTTCCTCTCTGGGTAAACTTTCCCATAAATGCCATACGTATTCATTCAAACACTGAACTGTTCTGAACATTTATTTCAGACATTCATTAAATAGAAAACACTTGCCAATGGATCCAAGAACATACCACAATGTACAGCCATGGTATCTTTTAAACTTTGTTTCTAATACTACTGTTTTGTAGTAGCACTATATTGCCATAGTACTATTACGTTCAGTGTGCCAAAGAAAATGTGCAACTCTCTTCCAGTGGGTAAAATTACTCACCGCGAGGAATCCCTTTCTACTTATCCATGTTCCCAAAATGGCAGCATCTCAGGAACTGTTGGAAAATATGGGAGACCTTTGAGAGACATGAGCTTCTGCCAAAAAAACCCCAAAGATCTTGCTACAAAAGTGGGATTTGAGACCCCCTCCCCCTTTGCAAGTGATAATCTCGCTAGACTTTTGAATCACGTGACTGGTCAGGGTGGGATTGACTCTTCGGCACCCTGTGGAAGTACTGTATAGGATGGGGGTCTGCTGTACTTTGTGGGTAGGCATCCCCTGCCTGTTACCCTCTCCTTGCCACTCCTGTGCAACTGTGGTCTTTCACAGTTGAACTAAATGAGCAATACAAAAATAATTTCAATTATTTTTTTTAAAAGTGTTAACAGTAAAATGGGCCATTGAAAAAGGGCCTCTCCAGAGTACTGCTGGGGCACCTTGGAGGAACAGCTCATGGCTGCACAAGGGGGGGATCACAGAAGCCAACTTGGCAGCCAGTTCCAGCAATTTGAAGATTAAGAAGAAGAAGAAGAAGAAGAAGAAAGCCATAGTGGGCCCAAAAGGGCTCATATTTATTTATTTATTTATTTATTAAAACATTTTTATGCCGCCCCATTCGCCGAAGCCTCGGGGCGGCTTACAACATAGATAAAACAAGTTAAAATCCATATAAAATAATCTTAATTAAAACTCACATTATAAAATAAGCCGCCCTGGCCAGATAAAATTCAATTGTATTTAGCATTTAAAATGTTGCTTAAATAAAAAGGTCTTAGCCTGGCGCCGAAAAACAAATAACAACGGCGCCAGGCGGACCTCTCTGGGGAGCGCATTCCATAACTTAGGCGCCACCGCTGAGAAAGCCCTTCTCCGAGTAACCACCCTCCTAATTTCTCTCACGGAGGGCTCCCGGAGAAGGGCCTCTCCCGCCGATCTCATATGGGAGAGAGGGGGCCCTTGGTCCTTCTACAGTGTCTCAAGGAACACCCGAGTGGGAAGGAAGGGGTGCTTTAGCCACAATGTACCCAGTCATCTATCAGCCACATCTGGTGTAGGATAGCTTACCTTGGCATACAAACCCAGCCATTACTTTTGCATTAAGAAAATTGTAAAAAATATTGAACATGAAGCCTCGAGCTATATATCTTAACGTCTTATCACACCAAAGTGTGTCAGATATAGGTAGTATAGTGATATGGTCATTATACTGTATAGTGAAATATGTATTCTGCAAACCTTGATAATGAAGGAAGAATGTACATGTGCATCAGCTTCTCACCCCCAGTCATATTACCTGGAATTCTTCCTCGTTGATAAGAATAAGTAATACAGCAATTGATGTCCAGTGACTGTGGAGGACTACAGCCGCACTGCTTATAAACCACAGTTCATACAAGAACAGAAGGCTAGAATATATATTATGGTCTGCAAGTTTTGTTGACTGTGATTTGGCAAGGTGTAGGTGATTGTCTTTTGTAATTTCTCTGATGCTGAGACTTTTTTGGTTGTTGGATGTAATTGTTACCATTCATTTGTTCTAGAAACACACAGTAAAACTTGCATGTGTTATCTGTAGCAGCTTCAGCAGCTGGAGGGAGACATACGGTGTTAAGTCCTCTGTACAGAATTCCCCAATTCCCTCTGCAGAGACTTCCTTAACTCCCAATGTACTAAACTTTAGACTGAGTGATCCACAATATATCGGGTTTGTTGGCTTTTCATCATTCACCCTCCACCGTCCCCATGTATCAACTCTCCTTATGTTTTTGATGACTTTATAAGGTTTTATTCTATGAACATAACTGTTAGTGTACTGATCCATATACTGTAGTATATGAAATTACTTTCCTGGAATGCTTTATCTGTTCTATTTCCTTGTCTTCACGTTCTGTCATTTGTTGGACACGTAGAATACACGTTTGCAGTAAATACTGTATCCAGCAGTTAAATATGAAAGCATTTGTTTAGTATTCTACAAATGTGATTTCCAGTTTCCCACCATATTTGCCCCAGTTCCACACATGTATTTACAATGCAGAGGACTAATGAGTACTTTTTGACCAGAAAAATTGAGAAGCTATTCTTAATTCACCAAATTTTGGAAATATATCCAGTTTTGCTAATTATAATTCAATTTTGAGAGAACTTGTTCCAATTTGTTAATTGTATTGAATTCTATAAAGTAAACAAAAACCTAAAAATATTAATCCAGGCAAATATAGTGAAGTTTAATAGTCTGAAAAGTAACTAAGCTTGAGTTTCACCTTCCTTCTCTTCTTGCTGTCTTCTGTTTTCTTTTCTACCACTTTCCTTTTAAGTTAGTGCAGACTGCTATCACTAAGCATAACAACAAAAATGTACTTGAAAAGGTGGTTTTCAGAATAATTCCATGAACTTGAATCAAATCAAGATATTGAGACCAGGGGCACAAACATAAGAAAAACCGTGCTGGAGCAGTCCAGTGGTCTATTCAGTCCCACACTCGGTTCACACAGTGGCAAACCAGTTGCCCTAGAATCAAGCAAGATGGCTACAAGCATTCCACCGGCCCAAGCTCCTCAGCAGCTGACATGCAGGCATGTCACCTCGATAGTGAAAGTGGGCCATAGCCACCAAGGCTAGTAGCCTTTGATAGCATTCTCCTCCATGGATTTATTGTTCCCTGTTAAAACCATCCAGATTGATTGTCATTGTTGCTCCTTGTGGCAGTGAATTCCATAGTTGAACTATGAACTGTGTGAATAAGTGCTTCCATTTATCTGTCTTGAATCTCCCAACAAATGGTTTCATAGGATCACGCCAGGTTCTAATATTATGGGGGAGAGAGAAAAATATCTCCGTCTCCACTTTATCCACACCATAATTTTAAGCACCTCTGTCTTATTTCCCTTCACATGCTTTTTTCTAAGCTAAACAATCCCAGTTGTTGTGATGGTACTGCATTGGGGTATTGCTCCAACCTCCTCATCATTTCAGTTGCTCTTCTCTGCACTTCTTCAGTGCAATAAGCTCCTTTTTCAGTGCAACCAGAACTGTGCACAATATTATAAGTGTAGTCACATCAAAGATTTGTATAAGGGGATTGTAATCTTGGCAACTTAACTTTGCTTTTGCTTTTCCTTCCCTCTCCTCCTTTTTCCTTCTGCTGGTCATGCTAAACATACAGTTTGACTTTTTCACAGCAGTTATACACTGGGTTGATATTTTCATTTATCTTTTTCCCATAGCTTGCAGATCCCTTTCTTGATCAGCCACTGCTGGTTTAGATCCTATCTATCTATTCATGAAGTTGGGATGTCTTGTCCCAACTCACATTACTTTACACTCGCTTACACTGAACTGCATTTACCATTTTGATGTCCATCCTCCCAGCCTGGAGAGATCCCTTTGTCAGTTTCTAAAAAATAAATTATGCATTTGAAAAGTTATCCTGTTAACATTTTAATGAGCATATGTATCTTCAGTTATTTGAGAAGAGCTGTGTCTACAGTGCATACATAGTCTTCCTCTTGAACTTAAGATTTCACAAGATTGGAAACCTGAAAGATTATCTGTCACCTTTTCATCTGGTTTACAGGGTTTGTTTTTGTGTTTGTTTTTGTATTCATCATATGTTAATATCTATTTTAATAGGGATGCTTCATTTGGAAATTCTACATATAACCTATCTATTTTGGACTGCCTACAAGGAATAAAAAAGGTAACGCGTAGATAGGAAACAAAAATTAATATCCTTAAGGCACATGCAAACAAAGAAGCTCACTGGGCTATTACTTGAAAATATGTCCTTCACCAAAGCTGATGAACTGTTGATTAACTCACTGCTCAATGTTAGTATGTTTTTGTGCTGACCTGCAATTATGCCTTTGCTTGCTTGATCAATGCTGACAAGTTTACTAATATACTTGGTCCTTATAATTCTGTTATATAATGCATGGCATTCTTGTATATGGCATGCTTAAAATCATGTTATATTCTGAAAGCAGGTGTAAACCTCATTACTTCCTTCCTATGCGCACTTTGCACAGGCAGTTTCTCGATAGTGCTTGGGGTAGAGGGCATCAGAAATGTTACCTTTCATCCTGTCTTAGAACTAGGTCATGGATTGTGGGAAGCCAGTGATTCTTCATAAAGGAGAATTTGGAGTGAGGGAGAATGGATTAAAGCAGTGCAGGGTGGAGGGACAACAAATTTTAAAGGTTCTTAACTGCTACATATAATGTTGAAAGCTGAAGCTTGGAGAAGTATTTATGAAAATACTTATGATAGCATGTTTCTTACCAGCTGCACCCATTTTTTGTCTGCTTCTAAATACATCTGAACATTCTAAATCTTCAAAGGGCAAGTGCTCATTCAAATCGAAATGTTCATTGTTCTCTTCTTCAGATCTGAAAGAAAAAAATGGTCATTTGTTTCTTTCCAGGCCTTTCAGCATGGATTTGTTGACTTCAAGACATTTGATGCAGATGAGTATGAGCACTATGAGGTTTGTACATATTTTAAATTAACAATTTTGCCCATGCTTAAACACAATCAACTAGATATGTCTTGATGAAAAGCTTAGGATTGTCCTGGATTGGAGTTTCTCCATAATTAATGCATTGCTGATCTGCTAAATTGTCTTACAGTTGTTTGGTTTAGTCAATAATAAAAGGACAAAGACAAGGAAATGTAAGATTGCTTAGAGCCTTGGCATCATCTGAATGCTACCTAATGTCACCAGAGGATATATATCACATTTAACAGTGCAAACGTCATTCTTTAAAAATTACTGATTAGGACTATGTGGACAAGAGAAATACAGGAAGAAAAATGTTCTTTCAGTAACTGGCCATTTAGTTCTGTTCCATATTTAGCTTGTAGAGCCTGTCCTATTTCATTTGTTGCATTAAATGAAGTTTTGCTGCTGAGTTGCTATTTGCTTGGCACAGTATTTTATATATACTAAATCTGAAATAACATTTAAAGTAGGTGCTTGAGAATGCGTATGTAGTATGTCCTCAGTCACATTTTTTCTGGCAGGAAGCGCTGGTAAGTGGGTTAAGTAATAATTACTATAGGAAATACTTGCACTAGTTGTTAAATATTAACTTTTCTTTTGAGGTTGAGCTCCATTGTGGTTGGCATACAAAGGGCCGTTTAACCATCCTTCACTATTAAGTATGTGGGGCTAGGTGAGTGCACCTTCCCTTGCCATTTCCTCCTCCTCCTGCATCATGATGGCGGCAGTCGCCCTTCCCCCTGCCAGCACCACACACACTCCACCTATTACCACTGCTGACCTTTTCCTTCTGCCCTGCCGCACTTACTTCCCTCCGTCATCCCTCCACATACCACACCGTGTTCCTCTTCCCTGCCAATGGCCTCATCTCCTGCAAGCTCACAGCAACAGCACTAATGAGGAAGCAGGAAGTCATCGAAGCGCATTTCCTGCTTGCTCATTAGGACTGTGGCAGCAAAGCGTAGATGGCAGGGAAGAGGTAGGCAAGCAGGATCTGGTGAACAGTCAGGAGGGTCCTGGCAAGCACCATGCAGAGATAGTGCTTTGGGGTCTAACAGAAGGACTAGCTGAAAATAGAGATTCAATTAGATTACTCAACACATAGATTTAAAAACATGAAATTCCTAGAGTTTAACATAAAAACTGTTGGGCAACATTGGGCCCCTCGTTACTAACATAATTGTTTAAACAAAAGAAAACTTGCACAGAGCAGCAAATGCATTTGTTAGAGGCAAACAACCCTGTGCAATATGACTGGGAAAAAGATACAAGCTACCAGTTTAGGCAATTTTCATTGAGCTGTTAAAAAGCCCTGGAGAAGAAAACCAAAAATAATGACAGAAGCTCCCCTCTTTCCATACACAAAAGCCTAGGTAAAATACTGGGGATCATAGTAAATAATGGAATATTTCATTGTATCTCGGTAGCCTAATAGGAGTTTGGGTTCTCTCCCCCCCCCCCAAAAAAAAGTATAAATAAGTAATCAATGCTGTTAAAATTGCACTGTTAGAGTTTTAAGCCCTGTATTAAGGCTAACTGTGTATAAAACACACAATAGTGAACCTGGGTTTTCCTCAATAGAGCACTAACCTACTGGCTCTATAATGAATGTATTTGTATGATGCATTTGTTTTCCAAAAACATGTTGCATTTGTACTTTTTTTTAGGTACACACTTCTGTTTTAATTAACTGTGCACTTCAACATCTCTAGTACATGATTGGATGTACACTCCAACATCCTGACATAGAAAGATAAATGAAACAATTTGGATTTGTGTAGGAAAGACCAGTTGCTTACTCGTAACTATTATTTTCCAAGTGTTCATCTGTGTGTACATACAGATGGGCTCTGTATTTGCGGAGAACCCTGTTCAATTCTGCCTGTTCCACCAACAGGACTGTGAATGGAACTTTGGTTCCAACTTTGATAGCTACGCCAAAGCTGACTGGGTTCTGTGAATGTCTACTTACTGGCATAGGAATGACATGAAAATAGCATTCAGAATGCACCTTATTGAATCAGGAACTGAATGGCCAGAAAGGATCAACAGTTACCCCATATTGTCAGCCATATCATGTTGAAATCCAGATGCCATTTCCAGCTTCAGTTCTGTGTAATGAGGGCCAGGATTGACGGAAGCCAATGACAATGGAGAGGTGAACCAACATTGCTTAGACCCTCACTACATGATCAGGCTGTAATTCATCCCTTCTTTCTGTTTCTTTGCAAGCCTTTTCATTATTAACAGAAGAACAAGAAAAGATAAAATAGCATTTCCTGTAAACTGGAACACAAAGGTGCCCTCCGTGGACTCTTCATGCAATCCCACGGTCCTGCAGAGACTTCTACAAAAAATACTGATCACCTAGGTCAGTGATGGCGAACCTTTTTAGAGACCGAGTGCCCAAACTGCAACCCAAAACCCACTTATTTATCGCAAAGTGCCAACACTGCAATAAAACCTGAAAGCTGAGGTTTTAG